AAAAAGACGACTCAAGCACTATCAGTCACTTGGTGAGATAATATAATTATTTGCATAAAGCAAATTAATGTCCGGCCCATTAAAGTGAGTGCCCTTTAATTGGAATTCCTACTATGAATGGAGATGGCAATTTTTCTCGATTCTTACGGGACCTTGCAAGGATCTTCGTCACGAGAACGGGATGGGAAAGAATATTTTTTTTTGTGGGGCGAGAATGAGGAGCATTTTACTCCCGTGAAATTTTGTGGGGAATTTTTCCCGTCCCGTGGGGTCCGCGGGGATCTCTATCCCCGTAAAAATTAAAATAAATATAAATTAATTTTATTTTAAATTTAATTCATCTTTCAAATCCAAATCCAAATCCAAATCCAAATCCAAATCTAAACACAAACACAAACTCAAACTCAAGTTCAAACTCAATTCAATCAAAATTAAACTTAACCCAATTTTACCTAACCCAACCCAACTCAATTCATAAAAATTAACCCAAGTCATTCCCCTACTTACATTTAACTTTAACCTTAATTCATTTCTCAATTTTCATTTTCACCTTCCCCTCCATTATTGGTTTAATTTTTGCTTATGTTTTAGTTTAATTTGGATTAATCTTTGTTTATGTTTGGAACAAATTTGTTAATTGTTGATTTAGTTATTTATTTTGAATTGATTTTTATTTATGTTTGGACAATTTATATTTGATTTTATATTTAAAAATTTTAGTTAATTGTATTTGTATTTTTAGAATTTTATTCATTATAATTGAATATTAATTAATTATATGTAAAAGACAAAAAAATTTATAATTTAATATTAATTGGTAGGGAATGGGGATCCCCACGGGGAACAAAGATGGGGGGCAAAATCTGCCCCCCGTCAAAAATCCCTACGGGGATCTCCGTCCCTGCCATTTGCGGGGACAAGGATGGGGAGGGACTCCCTAGCCCCGCGGGGCCCGTTGACATCCCTAACTGTAAATAAAGCCACTGTCCAGATAGCTACTTCTATTATGGTATTCCACTATAAAACCCATTGCCATCTAATGTTGGAATATTATACTGTTGTTGGGTTTACTGCCGTGATATGACCGATTAGCTGAATAAAGTGTATATATATCTATGAAGAATAATAAGCTCAATAGACTACTTGTTAGGATAACAATCAAATTAACCCAAATAGATAATAAGTCCATGAGATCCAAATATAAAAATGCATATGCATGAGTCACTATGAATCTCATATACAATCAAATGGATCCAAAGGGACAAATTAAAGTGTGACACATGTAAAACACTCCCAAGGAGTCTATAAATACTCCCACACCTCTCAAAGGTAAGGGATTTTCTTGGAACTCTTCTCTCTCTATTATACTTTTTCTCTAAAAAAAGCTCTAAGTATAGAATATTGCTAACTTAGATGTTGAAGTATCTACCCCGAGAGATAACCCCCAAGTTTGTTTTGCAGGTCCCCAAGTTGGTCAACTTGTGAACGATTAGAGCTTATGAAGCTAACCAAACACTACTCTTTTAAATGAAGATCGAACTCCCAAATCCACCTCTTGAATAAAAAAGTAAGAATAGATTTGTCTCAAAAAATAAAAAATGAAATAAAATAAGTTATCTTTTTAAATTATTAATCAAAATAAATTACTCATTATTTAACATGTAACATCATTACATGTCAATTTTTCATTAAAAGCAAGCTTGGTGACAAACAAATTTCTAATGTGTGCTAACATGATCATATGTTAAATAATGAGTAATTGCCTTGATCAATAATTTAAAGAGATAACTTGTCTCTACCCTTTCTTTTAGGGGCAAATCTATTCTTATTCTCTCTTATTTAAGGGTAGATTTAGGGGTTCTACCTTAAATTAAGGAATGCATATGTATGTATTAAAG